GGCCTGTGGGGCGGCGGCGGCGCTGCTGGTCACCGCGGCCCCGGGGCACCCTCTCGCGAGGCGCGGTGGGGCTGAGCGAGGCCGACACACGTCTTACCAGCGGGCCTGGCCTCGTCTTGCGGTTGAGCTTCCCGCTCCCAGGGAGCGAGGGATGAGGGACAAGGGCAGGAACCGGCCCGGCCGCCTGAGGTAACGGGTGGTCGTTTCCTGCGTCAGAATCGCTTGGCTGCTTGTACCAGCCTTTGCAGGCAGGTTAAAATCACGGGATGGAGAAACGGGATGATTTTTCTACAATAAGGTGGAGCCCTGCCATTGGTATGCAAGGCAGGCAAAATCTCACGGACCCCAGCTTAGGGTATAAATAAAAGCATTTAATTTTACATCACAGACTTAATTAGATACATCATTCTGTCGTTTAGATTGGCAGTGAATGGTCTAGCTCTTGGGGCGATTCGTCACTCATCAGCTGCTGCCACAGCCCCACTGCTTCTCTGTCTGAGCTGGCTGGGTGCTGAAGATACTGGCTGGCTCCCAGGCAAGCCAAGGATGCTTCTCGCTGGCAAATTGTTCTGTTACTTCTCTCAACAAAAGGAATAGCCACTAAAAATACCCAATGGTTGCTATCATTGAGTCAACACTGCAGCCCTCTAGGAGGGGTAAGCAGGCCACTGGCTGTTAAAATGGGGACGGTGAAAGGTTTTTGAAACACCTAGTTTAGTTTTGCAGTTGAGTCTTGCCACGTGCTAAATTCTGTGTCCACGAGTACCCAGGCTCCTTGATGAGACTAGCATAAGGAGTGGGGGAGAATGGAATGGAAATGCATCCTCAGCTTGGCTCATATGAGAAGGACAGTTCATGAGAATAGGGATTCAGTCCTGGCTTTCTGATGCTAGTACCTTAACCACAGCTTGGCAAAGTCACTTTCTGCTTCTCCTTAACCCCATGAACATTTAATTATTTATGCAAAATAGAAAAAAAAAATGAGAGGGAAAATTTGGAGAGTCCTAGAACTCCCAATTGCATTTTCTATGGCACTTTCAAAGGAGGTGGGAAATTTGGATTCAGATCCTTGCTAACCAGCGAAATTTGCAATCAAAGGTCTCTCCCCCCAAGCAGATGCCCTTATCCTTGGGTTATAGGGAAAGAAACAGAGATCACCCATTGTGCAGACCTTTTGTCCACCTTGGACAGGGTATGCTAAGCAGGGAATTTGGGAATATAGTTTGAGAATCCTTCTGAGGAGAAGGATTTGATTTAGTTTTGTGAATGCCTGATAGCGGAAAATATATCTACATAAAGCAGTGCAACAGTTAATTCTGGACCACGAAAGTGATGTATCTGCCTTAAATTACTTCAGTGCCAGGATGAAGTAGCTTAGTCTCCACCTTGCAGTCAGCTGTAAAGTGGTGGTTCCCAACTTCACCTGTGTGTTTCCTGGTTAAGGACTTTCTACATCAGTTGCAGGGTAAACTACTCAAAAGATGTCTTAAAGTCTACATTGTAGCAATTTAGGTAGCTGGGAGCACAAACCACAATTGACCAGAAAGTTTAAGGTTTTGGAGGCTTAAAAACATTGGACTTGGGAGCCTGTATGATATTGGGATACCTACTTGCCATTGTGAAATGCAAACTTTTTCAGACCAGGTCTGACTGAGATGGTTTTTAAAGTGTCAGAAACTACTATAAATCTCAGTCTTTCTAAAATAATTGGAACATACTAGCACTGGTAGGAAGATAATAGAAAATATCTCTGACCCAGGCAGATCCACTACAGGGTCCTCTTTCTGAGGAACACACTGTAATCAGTGGCTTATTTTTTAAGTGCAAAGCATGGGTCAAGTCTCTTGCTGATGCAATAATGATACACAGAGCACTTAAATCAACTGTGCTTTGTTAAAGACCAGTGGATTGTCAGCACTGTTGTCTTGCTTTTACTTGGGTACGTGGCAGCCTTTTCCAATGACTGAGAGAATGCACTGTTCTAGCTTAAAATCAACTAAACCAGAACCTCATCATGAGTGTAAATCAACCTCTTTCTTGCTCCATTTTTACCTCAAACCTATTTATTTCTTGAAAGAAGAGGTATTTTCTGACAAATAGTATTTCCTATTCCTGTCCAAGTGCATATAGCATGGCACAGAATCATCATCCTTCCCATTTACAATAAAACACTCTGGATTGCTATTGTCAAGTGAACAGTAGATAGCCCAATGTACGTGAATATTGAAGGCTTGCTTTATTTGGCCTTAAACATGAGTGAAGTAGTTACTTGGTTGTGATTCCAGTAGCAAAGTTTATTTGCCATTATAATGAAAAGTTTAGTGTAAAAATATTACTGTAACTTTAAACAAAAAATCTAAAGATTGCATAAAGGAGTGGTTTTGTAACAGCTTATTTGGGAATATTTCAGTAGTTTTAATATTTCACACCTTTAACAATTGGGCTTAACACAAGTTCCAAAATTCCAAAGTACTGAAAGTAACTGCTTAATACTTTTTTAAAAATTTTGTCACTAGTACCACATCAACTTTATTTTGGTGCCAAACATGACAGCAGTGGCAATTATTTGGAGCAACTGGTCTATAGAAGGAGTACTTGAAACATGAAGAAGAGGGCAAAATTCAGTTTAACAAGTTGAGTCTAGACTGCTTACAATTCAAACTATAATTACAAGTCACCTTTAAATTGATCACAATATGCTGACCACATAGAAATAAAAGATATGAAGGATGCATTCTGGAATGACTCGTACTGCCATTAACTAACATAGTTAATACACTAATTACTATGCTGATTATCTAGTAACTAGCATTATCTGGTAACAAGTATTTTCTCCATCCTGTGGAGTCTAAGCAGATTAATGCTTGTGCATAGATTCTCTTTTTTGATTACACTATGAGGCTGCCTTGTTCAAGAACAGTATGAGCCAATGTTAAAAATTACCTCTTCTTTAGATCCACAAACAGCAACACAACACGTGAGTATGGCGCTTCACGTCACAGCAAATTAAGCTGTTAAATGTTAGTTGGAGATGCATTTGATTGAGGGTGTACACAATTTTGTGCATATTTTGAAACTTAATATTGGTTCTTTTGAAACTCATTTGAACATACGGCTTGCCACGCACTGTTAATTATGTTTGTGACAATAGTGCTTAAAACCTCGAGCTAAATGCTGTTCCAACACAGAGGAAGAGGCATCCTGTATTCCAGAGAGTTATCATCTAAAGAAACAAGACACACAGAATAAGGGAAAACGGTTTAGCAGAGAGGCAGCATGATGGTGTGATGGCAGGAAGGATCTCCCACACTTCTTCACTCTGGTAACAGTGGTATGTAAGTAATACATGTTATAAACATTCATATATGTTATAAAACGAAACAAAACTGAGGGTGAGTAAAGAGGTGTTGTGCTGGTGGTATAAATGTGTGTATGTGTGAAACTAAATTTAAAAGCTTGGGATGCTGTCACACTTCATTTTTTAAATTTATTTTGATGGCTTTCATAGGTGCTTTTACCAGCAAATTCTTGGCTTGCTGGGTTTTTTTTCCGAGTACCACACATTGTTTGGGAAAAAGCTAACAGAAGTATCACCTGGTACACTGCTTGATGCTAAAACTGGAGCTTTTTCCCACAGAGTGATAGGGTGACCCTGCTGCTGCCTAACTTTATCCTCTTCCAGGGAAGTCCCTTCTGCTTTAGTTGCTTCTGCACCTAACAGCCACTGTCCTATTTTGCCATTATTTTGATTAATATAAAGGAAGACTCATCTGCAAGGGGTTTCTGAAATTTTCAAAATCAACATGTTAAGTATACTATATGTGAAAGCCTGTGAAGCAAATCAGATGTGGAGACATCCCTGAAGCTCCAGGAGAGGTAGAAAAAAAATTATACCTTGCCTGGTAATCTTTCATTGGCTGCACATTTGAAAATACTAAAAAAGAATATTAAAAGACACTGAAGAAGGTAAAAATTAACTTCAGATGCTGTGTTTTATCTTAGCTAGGCACATATAACATTCCACTTTTGGGTTTCCGAAGATATCTCTCACATGAAGTTACCTTCAAAAATAAAGATAAAAATGGACACCTGATCTTAGGATCAGAATTTTATGTGTCTTCAGTGACTATTGCTACCAGCTCATCACTTGTAAGAATTAGTCATTGATATAATTGCTAACTGTGAATGTTCTTCTGTGGCTTCACTCTCGCATCAGGAGTGTTGTGATCTAATTTAACCTGTAATTTCCTGAGAGGATTATGTCTTTTTTCCAGTCTTTTATTTCAGCTGCAGTGATTCTTATCATCCAGTGCAGAAAAATACCCCTCCACATGATCACCTATGGTTGTAATTTGGCCTCATGCTTTGATACCAATTTGGCCTGGTAAAATCCTAATACAGACATTCAAATATGGAGTAAAGAGACTGAAAAGTCTTGCTTTTAGGAAAACTTTCTCAATCGACACAAGAAAAGTATTTGTTGCCCCTGAGAGTGTGGGTTTCATTGTGAACCGTCCCAGATAGGACACCAAAGGGAATTTGAATGGAATGAGTCATCATTAAAAACTCCTGTTTACTCTCTGGTCTCCAAATGTAATGTAAACAAAGAATGTAAGTAAACATATGCATAATTTAATATTTTTCTCCAGGCCTGTGACTGTTAATTATATGAAGTCGCTTGCCACTAGCAAACTGAAAGGGTTCAGGAACACAGGAAATGCTGCAGGGTAGGACTAAATATAAGCAAATGAGGGTCTAGAGAATATTTTGTGCTATGAAAAACAGGCTGAAAAGTTTCTGACACATAACTGGAGGAGAACAGCTGCAGGGAATGGCCTGTGGTGCTGTAACTTCCCCAGATCCATGTGTGTCAGAAAGAAATATAATTGCCCTCCTGAAGTATATGGGTTGC